CTCAGAAGGGCATTGGGAACAACACCAGAGGCTCAAAACACCAGTTACTCATAGATAGGGCAGTCAACCAAGAATCAAGTTCTAGACAGACCAATCTGAGCACAGCCTGGATTGACTACAGGAAAGCCTATGACTCAATGCCACGCCCATGGATCTGTGAATGCCTGGCACTATACAAAGTCAACAGGACACTAAGGACCTTCCTCAGTAACTCAATGGGACTGTGGAGGATAACACTGGAAGTCAACTCAAGACAGCTCACACAAGTGGCCATCAAGTGCAGCATATACCAAGGGGATGCTCTGTCCTCACTGCTGCTCTGCAGAGGCTTGAGCCCCCTTAGCCAGATAATCCCAAGGACTGGATACAGATACAAGTTCAAGAGTGGAACTACCATCAGCCACCTCCTCTACATGGATGACATCAAGCTGTATGCTAAGACATCGACTTGCTGATCCACCAGACACAGATCTACAGTGAAGACATTGGGATATCATTCAGACTGGAGAAGTGTGGCCGGATGGTAGTAAAGAGAGGGAAGGTAGTTAAGACTGATGGGGTGGAACTACCAGCAAGCCACATAGCAGATATACAGGCCAGCTACAAGCACCTTGGTATCCCACAGACACATGTAGATCTGTTTCAGGCACATTTAAAAGGCAAGGAAAACAGCAACATCCAAGCACCACCACAACATCTAAGCATAAGACAGGTCCTGAAGAGCCAGCTCAATGGGAAGAACAAGATCCACGCCATCAACACGTACGCCCTGCCAGTCATCAGATACCCTGCCAGTATAGTATGCTGGCCAAAGGAGGACATGGAGGCTGCCGATGTGGAGACCTGGAAGCTCCTCACAATGTATGGAGGTTTCCACCCCAAGTCCACCCCCCAGAGACTGTACACCAGCAGGAAAAAGGAGGGTAGAGTCCGATGAGTGTCAAAGCCACTGTCCTGGATGGAACCCAGAGCATCCAGGAGGATGGCAAGGTGGCACCCAAAGATGAGCTGCTGAGGGAATGCCTGAGGCAGCAGCAGACATGGGAGGACGTTCAAGCAGAGGAAGTGCCATGGCAAGACAAGACCCTGCATAGGATGTACCATCGACAGATAGCTGAAGTAGCCGACATTGGGAAATCCTACCAGTGAACCAGTGGCTGGAAAGGGCTGGACTAAAAAGTAGAGAACCTCCCAACAACTCTGGGTGGCTGACCATGAAAAAGTAAAACAAAAGCAAAAGATAAAACACTCAAAAACTTTTTGAAAATCAAAAGCCCTGGAAGGAAATGTTGCAGGGATGGGGAGAGTCGGGGGTGGTGGTGGTGATGCTTCCACTGAGGGTCTCTTGGCCTGTCCTCATGGATCCTCCCTCTCCCCCAGCTTCATCTTCTTCCAGATGTTTTCCCCCTCCAATATGCCCTGCCTACAGGGACCGTATTTTCTTGGAAAAAATAAAGGACCAACCTGAAAAAGGGGCAAATCTGAAAGAGATTCATCAGGATAAAAATGTTTAATTGTTTATGTTGATAACTTTGCTTTACAAAGGAACATTCAAGAGCCAAACCAAGAAGAACTTTACAAAAATGCATATTCAGATTAAAAATATCTAAAAAGCATAAAAAGCTATACAGTTAGAAGCAAGTATTTTTTTAAATTTATATTTATTGAGAATGTTACATACGATAAAAGTCACAGTTAAAGAAAAAGAGAGAAAAGAAAGAAAAAAGGAAGAAAAATGTGCAAGAAAAGGGAACAAAAAGAAATTCAAGTGAAATATAAGTGACTTCCGACCTTCTCTCCAAGAGATAATTAGAATCTTATCATTCTCCCTCCCTCTTAGATGAAGCAGCAAGTATTAAAAAGGATTTCTGCCATCAGACTGTGCAGTTAGGGGTCCCATTTGTACGGTAAAAATTAAAGGACCCAAAAGAAGGTTTTGAAAAAGAAAGACATCTAAAGGACAGCTTTCTGGAATAAAGAACTGGCCTTTATAATAAAGGATGGATGGCCACTGTAGTCATGCCCCCAACCTTCTTCTCAAAGTTGCATGACCCCGTTGGCCCCTCTCCTGCAACTTCTCTTCTCCTCCCAGCCGGGGCCGGGGGAAGGTTGCAAATTGCTTCTGCAGCTCAAAGATGCTGGACCCAGTTTTTCCCCTGCAGCAAAAATGCCTGTGTGGGTGTGACGTACTATGTCCTTTACCCTTATCGTTATGAAAAACCACGTCCCTCTCAGAGCGGTTGCAAGAGGCCTAAGAGAGGGCATTGGCATCGTGACCGCGTTGCAGGCTTCCAGTGAGCTTTGCTTGGGCTGGCGTAAGTTTTTCGCCGGGTTTCTCTCTTACTTGGGTGGGATTAGCTTCCTGCAGCTCTGATAGAGAGGTGAGGGCTAAAGGCAGCTTGTTTTCCAATAATTCAGAAGAGGGCATTCTTTAAAAAAAAAAAAAAATCAGAATCCGAATGACAGGTCCGTGTCTGATTTCCAAGGAGGCGAGAGAACCCTAAATCCAGCTCTATTTCCTTTTCAGAATGATTATGATTCCATTTTTCGTATGCATTTTATGCTCACGGCTCTGTGGGGTAGATCAGGCTGAGAAATGCTGAGCAGGTAAAGGCCGCTCCATGAACATATGGCTGGAAAGAGATCTGAACCCAGCTCCTCTCTTTCCAGATACACTAACTACACCGCCCTCTTTAAAAACACAGGTCAGAGAGATGGAAGTAGCTTTTTTGGGCTGGGGGTTGGACAGCTGTTAAGAAGAAAGCTGGTTTCCAAAATGGCCATTTAACATTCTGCCTTTTCACTTGACCCCTTTCAGCAAATCTTACCTTTTTAATGAAAAATGCCTTCATCAATTAAGTATCATACGCCGTGGTGCACTCAGAATTTCTGAGATTGTCTGTAGCAGGTCCATTTCCAGTTAATTATTCTGATACTCTGAAGTTATAAACAGTCAAATATTTAAGTTTGCTTTCCGGAATGGATTTCTGGAGCCTTTCCCTCCTCCCTGCCTGCTCCAAAAAGAACTGGAATGGTTCCTAATTCTGTTCAGATTCCTTTGGGCTTGAAGCTGAAATAGACACATCATTAGACCAGAATTTTCCCAAAAGCTTGCAAACATTAGACATGTTTCTTGTATGGGAATGATACTAAGATGTCCTGTGAGTCAAATCCTATTGCACTGACTTACTTCTGGATTTTGGAGTAGGGAAATTGTTACCCCGTTCAAAGGGGTAATCTTTGACTAGGTTGGATGCCCAAGAACATCAGGAATTGCAGATTGGTTGAATGATAAACTGTCCCACCAACTCACAGCAAGATCCTCCAAGGGGCTCCTATAGTCCAGTCATTTTATTGTGGCACACTGGCTGGATCATCTTTAGAC